AGTTTATTTTTATTGTTTTACTTCCACTTCCAATTACGAAATAATAGCCGGTGACATGAGATAAATTTTCAGTAAAATTGCCGGTCAACAATGTGTTAATATAGACAAAATTGAACTCTAAAGTTTTAACAAAGTTTAAATCATATAAAAATTTAACACAAATTATTATAAAATGTTTATTACCCATTATATATAATTTTCACTCGAATATCATCATTTTCAGTCGTCTGTGTAGGCATTTTTGTAACAAAATGATCCCTTATCCTGAAATATATACAGAAACACTTTAACATAAATTTTGATTACACTAAATTAACTTCATGATTGCAAATTGGATATGTTTCTTTAAATCCAACTAAATATTTTTATATGTACGCACAAAGTATATTATGACAAATTGTTTTTCTATTAAAATATCAGATAGGAATTATAAAAGGTTGATTTGAAATTACAATCAATGACCGTGTTTTGTTAAACGACAAAATAGAAAGCTTTAAATAAATAAAAGAATATTGTCCCAGAAATTCATTGATTATAACAAATCCATATTTGCAGTCGCAGAGTAAACATAAATGTTATTATGATATAATTTTTGTAGGTACAAGTAACTTTAAGAAAACATTCACCACAACATGTCACTTCGTATACAACAAACAATTCAGGTTAATTTCAACAAGAGTTTTTGGATCTTGTGAAATATTTCGATATTAAATTTTTAAATAAAACCTACTCCTTGTAACAGCGCAAATCGATTGTTTCGCACAAACTCGATAACCAATGATAAATCTTTTGCTGGAGTAAAAATTACAAAAAAACAATAAGGAACAAACCAAGTGCCAGGCAATTAACGGCCACTTTTTTTACGGATGTGTAGACTTGTTTCAAGACGTGCACAGCTTCTGACTCACCGTGATGATTCCGAGCCACCACTGCCTTTAATGTCGCCGTTGTTGCACAGCTCAACAGGCAAAATACTAATCCAAATTTGGTTACCAGTCTCCCTTGTAGAAGCTAATGTAAAAAAAAAAAAAAAAATGGAACAAACCGTAAAACAAACGTTAGTTGTAATATTCTAAGAACAACTTAAGGCACTTGGTACCACTTGTTACGTTAAAGCTATCATATATATATATATATAAATATGATTAAGTTCAACTTGGCGCTCGCAAACGATCGCGAGCATATAGTCGAGTTTTTGGTTTGGTGCAGATACGACCTTCAAGGACCGTTTTTGCGCTAGTTCATACGCCATTCTATGAATTTGGGTGCTTTCCAACAACGGAACACTATGATCTAGTTTCCACCGAAGAATTGGGTGCGTTCAGACAACTCAACAGTTGCACAACGGTTGAGAGATAATCACTTCTGATTGGATCATACTGTTGGAACCAAATCAGATTTTGAAGAATAGTCCTATCATAAGTGATGATCTCTCAAACGTTGAGTTGTCTGAACGCACCCATTAATTCACACCTAAGGTGCTTTCCAACTACGTACGCAGACGACACTGGTCTGGTTTCCACCGAAACCCTCAATTCGGTTTCACTCCGGTACGGATTAAATTTAGTGTTCCGTTTCCATTGGAAGTAGAGTACTTAGGGCGATGTCCCATTGAGCGGAAATATATAGCGGAACGGAATGTGCGGAACCAGCTCGACCAATCATAGCCATTCCGTTTTCTTTCCTTTGCTTATTCTGTGGTTACAATTGGTCGAGCTGGTTCCGCACATTCCGTTCCGCTATAGATTTCCGCTCAATGGGACGTCGCCCTTATAAATCGAAGCGGAAGCGAAATCAGCGCAATTTGACAAAGTTTCCATCGACTTAACCTGGATCCTCATGCAAACACTGGCGCTTTAGCACCAGCGCTCAAGCGCTGTTTCAACTGTTGAGCAAAGCTAATGAGAGCTGTCAATCCTCATGACAGCTCCGGTGCTTTAGCGCCGTTTACTCCCACTACCCGCTTTTCACCCATATATGTAATATTTCTATATTGCTAGTACGGTGCCGACCTGAAGCTCACCGGTACGGTGCAGACAATATAGTAGCCTCTCTCTCCAGCTGCTTTGTGCGCATGTGGAGCATAATGACGCTCGACCATCTATGCCCATATTTGGACTTCGTGCGTCTCCTTTTCTCGGGCCTCGTGCCTCTCATTGCGAAGATACGCGACTAGCAATATAGGAGTATTATGGCGAATTCGATTGGATACACTAGTGCGCACCAGTGCGCACTGAGTGCGCCCTCTTTCATTATGTAGTATCAGAGAGAAACCTGAGAGCGGCCATCCTATAGTAATTTTTTACGACGGTTTCAGCCGCTGGTTTTAGCCGTATTTCCACAAAAGTGGAACTCAAAGGCCGTTCTACATTAAACGCAAGTCGCAGGTCTCGTGGAACT